CGGTCACAAGCTGGCAGAGGGTAGGTTTAGGTTAGATATCAGGAGGCGCTACTTCATGGTCAGGGTGGCTAGGGTCTGGAACCAACTTCCAAGAAAAGTGGTGCAGGCTCCTACCCTGGGGGTTTTTAAGAGGAGATTAGATGAACACCTTGCTGGGGTCGTTTGACCCCAGTACTCTTTCCTGCCACGGCAAGGGGTCGGACTAGATGATCTTCTCAGGTCCCTTCTGACCCTAGAAACTATGAAACTATGCACCCCCCACGCCCCTTGCCTCCCCGCCACAGACTTACCGGCCAAACGCTGCTCTCCAAGCTGCCAAACTGCATTCCTGACCGCGCGCATGCTACGGTTGCATGCATACATGCAGTATTTATTGGTGACGCTATTGGCTACACCGGCCCAAAAAATCCAATTGCGAATAATGCTAATTTTCCTTTTATTGGTGCTGAACCGATATACAACCAATATATTGGTGCATCTCCAGGTCACTGATGAAGATATTGAACAAAACTGGCCCCAGAACTGACCCCTGGGGCACTCCACTTGGTAGTGGCTGCCAGCTAGACATCAAGCCATTGATTACTATCCTCTGAACCTGACAATCAAGCCAGTTTTCTAACCACTTTACAGTTCATTCATCCAACCTGTACTTCCTTAACTTGCTCACAAGAATGATGTGGGAGACCATATCAAAAGCCTTGCTAAAGTCTACACATATCACATCCACTGCTCTTCCAGCATCCACACAGCTAGTCATCCTGTCACAGAAGGCAACCAAGTTGGTTAGGCATGACTTGCCCTTGGTAAACCCATGCAGACTGTTCCTAATCTGGGTTTTCCACTTCCCATGGAAAAAAACAGAGAAAAATGTGTATTTTCCCCTTTACTCAAGGAAAATGCGGATTTCTCATTTTAACAGAGAAACCCATGGATTTTGCAATTTTGCAAAGAGCTGTCTGCAGACTGGCAGATTTCCAGCCTGCAAGGGGCTGGGAGGAGGGCAGTCAGGCAGAGGGCACCACATGTATGTAGATGCACATGGCTGCCATGCAGCCCGGAGAGCAGTTCCAGTAGGTAAGTGGGGGGGAAGAGGGCATTGAGGCCCCTATTGGAAGAGAGGGAGGGAGTTGGGCAAGTCTGGGGCTTTGGGCCCAGGGCTGCAATGCACAGCTTGCAGGGCCCCAGCACGGAGTAGGACAGGCCTGTGGGCAGTTCATCCAGGATGGGTGCAGGTGGGCCCAGCTCCCTGCTGCTGCACGCAGTCCCAGAGGAAGAAGGGGGACCAGTGCTCCCCGAGATTTGTGCACAGGGTGGCGTGGGTGTGGGCTGCAGGTTCCCACCCTGTTGCCCTCCTACAAGACCACCACAGCCCAGCACATGCGATGCAACACTGCAGGGAACATGGGAGAAGCTGCTTGCCATTGTGAACTCCACGCTGCCCTAGTGAGGCATCCACTGTGTACGCAGCAGCGGCAGCAGTGCGGAGTTGTGCCCCTCACTGCTGCTGTTGAGCATGCAGGGGGGACGTTACCAGGGCAGCATGGAGCTTGCAGCAGCAATGAGCTGCCCTGCATGGCCCCAGTGTTTCCTGCAGTACCAGGTTGGAGGCCCTGGGGAAGGGCAGCAGGGCAGGAGCCCACGACCACCCACACCCTGAGCACAGATCTGAGGCACTGGTGCCTACCACCCAGGAGTGTGCACAGTGGCAGGGAGCTACAACCCCCAAAACCTGAGCCTGCAGCAGGCAGGGAGAACTGGGGTCTACTTCGTTGCAGCAGCTGCTGTCTCCTGCCAGCAGCAGGGGACTGTGGACCTAGGTGCCTGGCCCCATAGTCCTGGCAGCTGTGGGCCCAGGACTAGTGGAGTTTAGCTGACAGAAGCAATTAACCTGATTAAACACTTTGCATGATTCACCACCCTTCGTCCAGAGTCTGCAAAGTGGCCAGCCACCATGTTGGGAACAAAGTACCAGATGACAGGCATCTGTTTGAGAATTTATTGGCATGGCATCAGCAGGACCAGGGGCCACTCCATCTCCAACAACAGGGGCAGAGGCTTGGGCTTAGTCTCAAAGATGCTGCGAAACATGCATACAGAAACCACACACTGAGGTATGTTGCTCTCAGTAGCATCCATGTGTGTCCTCAGGTACCTCTAGTGAGCCTCAAGACATTTCACAGCCATCCTGCTAAGCTTGTAGCTGAACAGTTCCTTCCAGGCATGTCGGGCTCCAGTGAACGGCTTCATCAGCTAGGGATTCAGCGAGTAGGCAGGGTCCTCAATCACTCCTCCACTGGGATGTCACACAGACCAAGGCAAAATGCTCTCCTCTCCATTTATTCAGGGGGGAGAGAGAGACCCTAAATATCCTGGCGTTGTGCACCTTGCCTAACCAGCTGGCCTTTACACATGTGAACCAGCTGCAGTGAACAGCCTGAAATATAATCAAGAAGTAGCCCTTCTGATTAATGGATTCCCAGCCACAGTACACGAGGGAAACGATAGCCATGTGTTTGCTATTGATGGCCCCAACGCAGGTAGGGAACACCAGGCTGGTAAAATTCTGCACAACATCCTGTGTGTCAACAAGGCATATGATGCGTAGAGCCATCACCTGCTGGATTGTGGGACACACCTCCCACTGCCTCTACAGTCATCAACTTGGCCACGCCAAAATGGTTTGCTGTGGACCACGTGCTACCATACAAAGATGACAATGAGCTTCTTCATGATTTAGGGTAACCCCTCATCACTGTTGGCCACTGCTGTATGCATGAGGCAAGCTCAGCACAGTTCTCCACGAAGGATAAGCAGAAGTTTATGAGACAACTGCTCATCATGACAAGCAGCTATGATGACCCAGTGCCACTAGTTGCTATTCATTTCCCTAGTCCAAAAATGCCACTGAGAAATTTGGAGAAACTCCCCAGTCTGCCTGGTCACAACGTGATGACTTGGGGCCAAAAGATCTTTAGGGCAGCAGTTGCTGTTGCAGACTAGTGTGCAGATATAGCAACAGACCCTCCATTTTGTGGCAGTGAGCGTGAGATTCTTCTCCAAAAGTACTGTTTCATCATTCTTGGCACCAGTAAAAGTAGCCATCAGGGCCCACCAACATCACCTTGCCTCATGAGTTCATGACTCTAAGCCAGTAAGGTCTTTAAGGTTACGATCACCCTTGGATCCATAGCAGCCAATGGTGGTAGAAGGTCCAGGTCATGATCAGTGGTGGTAGGCAGCATATATGCAAGGTAAATTCAGGCAAGTGATGAGGGGCCAGAGCTGTGCAGTGAATCACATGCAGCAAAATCTCACCCACACAAATTTCACCACCCACACACAATCTGAACAACCAATGGGAGCTTTATCCAACACTGGCAGAGTTCTGGGAACCAACAGACACTCAACCAGCGCCAGGTTTGTTAGTTTTTGTGCTCATTCAGACCACATGCTGATGGAAGAGCAGCGGTACATTCAGCTTCTCTTTAAACCTGTTTTGAAGGGTGACGTGTGGACATGCAAATCCTGTGACTTCTCCATTATGGAACAAGGAGCAGCACACCCAGTACCATGACAAATGTACTGTCTGCTTATAGTCTAATAGACACAAGATTGAAGTCTATAATAATGCAGGAGGAAACCATTACAGTTGCCATGGGAACTGACTTTGAATTTGTTTTTGATTTATGCAAGACACCAAATTAAACTCATGCATTTACACAGTAGTTTTTCATAACAGACTTTACAACAATCCTGTACTTTCAAAAGCTCTTGCAGAAGAATAGAAAGAGATACATGCATTAATAAGCCTGAATTTCTGCTCCACTGACAGGCTGGGCAAGACACAATCCTTTCCACAACAGACAAGTCTGCCGCCATGTCACTAAGCCATAGAATCTGCTAAGTCATAGGGCAATCAAGTGCATCTAACTAAACTTAGAGCTTAAGTAACCCTGCGCAGAGTGAGGAAAACAGACTTGCTGCTGCCTGTATTCTGACACTGTTGTCAGAAGCTGGAGCTGATGAATCCAACAGTACTGTGGTTGTGAGACTTGAGTACAGAAGAACTTGGCAGCTAGATATTGGAAAAGTAAAGAGAATTTTTTAAAGTTAAAACCTCTTCCTTCATTTTCCTGTTCCAAACCATGTTACAAGAGTCTTTTTTCCCCCCGTGTGACAGCCTAATTCACTGCCAAAGGAATGAAATAAATGTCTCCTTGCTCAGTTTCACGGGTTTTGGTAGTACTGTTTAGAAACTTTAGAGGAAACAGAAGATGAGGACCCAGATGCAGGTCTTAGCTAGTAGAGGTTTTCACTTTGGCTGTAAAATTATTTAATTTGCATTTTTCAATTTAGGCACATTTAGTTTGTTACAAGGACACTACATTTTCAAAGTTTTTAAAACTGAGATTCAAGAAATTACTTACACAGCCATCATGTACATTCAGCGTTGCTTCAAGTTTTAATCTTTGGATAAATTCTCTTCTTCCTGTTGAAGAAAAAAAAATGTTAGATTGATTTTAAACTATGATGTTAAAAAACATAAGCACTAAGATATTCTGGTGATGGGCACAACATAAGAACCTAAATAGAGCAGAATCTGAATTAAAGTCCCAATACAATTTCCACGGTTTTAAGTGTTCAAATAGAAAAAAACAACAACACGTGTTTAGTTGCTGTTCCACCACCTTTAGCACCAGTATAAAAATTCTGAAATTGACATGCTTCAAAACCAGCTGCCTCCTTTGAAATTACAGCACATAAAAAAAAAAAGAAAATAACCCATATGTACAGGTAATAAAAAAATGGCTAGAGTCTCATAACTGACAATTCTAATAAACGTAATACAGTTTGAGAGGCATAACTTTTAAACTGGAAAACCACAATCAATCAGTTTAGGTCTTAAGTCAAAAGTGGAACACGGTCCTAATGCTAAGAACATGACTAGAAATCAGACTTTTATAGGAACATTTCAGGCTGCTTGAAAAAAATCAGAGCAGCAAAGGTGAGTGGGTAGAGGAAGGAAGAAGGCTCTTCTCTGAAGTGCAGGCTTTATGCAGCAGGGTTCTATATGCTGTGTATTGATGTCCTGTATATTCATTTTCATGGTCTCCAGCCAGGCAAGGATTTAGAAAGAAAGGATTAGAAGGGGCTTTGTGTCATCAAGTCCAGTCTCTTGCATCTGCAGGTCATCATTTACCATCAGAATCTCCCCACATCGCTGCTGATGATCTGGAGATGCAAGAGACTGGACTTGATGGCACAGAAAGACAACTGACTCCTCTGTTTTTTGCTCCCTGCCTGGTGCTCCTGTTCAATCTTCTGCTCTGCTTTCTGCTTCCCCAACCCTATTTGCTGCTGTTATGCCACTCTCTCCACAGTCTATGTGTTGCACAGAAAGTCTGCATGTCCCATTAGTGGCACACCTAATGCAGGTTGGCTGCCCCTGTCCTAAAGCCACAGGTCAGAACAATGTGGCTCTTGTGACATGTCAGCAGCAGGGGGACTTTCTCCACACCTATGCTGGGCAAGAAAGCTGGGAGTTGTGCCTACATGACTATCGCTTCTCCCAGGCCCCAACTCCTTTGCTACAGTGCAGGAACAACTTCACTCATGGGGAGCTGAACTGGGACCCAGTATCTGCAAACTGCACCTCTGGTTGTGGCATACACACAGCTAGAAGCTGCCCAACCCACGGGCCATATTTTGCTGACCCATGCCCTAAAGCAGGGGTTTTCAAACTTTTTAAATAAGTGTACCCCTAGCAGCCCCCTTTTTGATAAGTGTACCCCTGGAAGGGGGGGTGGCAAGTGGCCGGATGCAGAGCAGGGTCGTGGTGAGCAGTGGAGGGGCAGCGGTGCAACATCTGTGCAGCCCTGCTCGTGCCCCACTCCAGCCCTGCTCTATGAGGCAGCAGCATGGGGTGGCAGCACTCTGTCCCCAGCCACCCCCCCGTGTACCTCCTGGGACCTTTCAAATTACCCCCAAAGGTATGTGTACCCCTGGTTGATAACACCTGCCCTAAAGCAAGCCATAGGTAGAAGCAGGAGAAACTGTCTGATTTCAACCTGAAAAAGGGACAAACTAAGGACACTTGTGGTAACAGACATACATTGAGACAGTAGCCTAAAGTGTTTCCTTCAATTTAATTCAGTGGAAATTCTCCATCCTTATAGAAAAGGGGAAAAGAAACCATGTGGGGCAGAAAAGCAGAGAAAGGACCTTCTCACATCTATACTTCTAGCCTTAAAAACCTGAACTAGACTAGGATAAGTCACTGCCCCTCTCTGTGCCTCTGTTTTCCCTTGTTGCTTTTACCTTTCTTGTTTACTCAGATGATAAACTTTCAGCAGCACAACCAAGCCTTATGTTTTCCATATTTTTAACAAAACAAATTTAGTTCTTAGTAGAAAGATGCCAGTCTTGTTTCCCTGGTAATTGTAGACAGGGCTATAATTTCAAGTGTCTGGGATTCCATACCGATGTAAAAGAGGAAAAAAAAATTAATTTTGATTCGCATTTCTATCTTTTGGCTCTGTTACATGCAGACATAGTATAATGGCATAATGCGGGAGCAACAAGTGTTTGAGGGATACAGGAACTGAAAAGGTGAAGCTAATCTCAAAGACAAAAAAGTGACTTTGCAGCACTGCCAAAGCTACTTAAGAGTCCTGGGATGATGTGAAAACTGCAGCTTTTGTCTGCTTTTAAAACAAACGTTCTAGCTTTCATAATTCAGAGAAAAGCTTGAAAATATGGATCTTAATGGCTTGAGGCAATTAATAAAGAAAATATATGTTTAAAAATCAAATGATGACCTGTGGGGTTTTTTGGGTTGTTTTTTTCTTAAATTTAGGGTTGACACTACTGTAGCTCTTAATCTGCAATTTAAGAACTAAGGATTACTCAATGTGACTAAATCATTAGGGTAAGTAGCCAACCCTGCACACCTGCTAGCCCCTACAAACAGCAAACTAGAATTTAAGAAAGTCAGAAATATTGACTTAGACGCAGTAGACTGTAGGAGAAACTTCAGCTGCAGGCAGAATAGTCAGAGTCCTAAAGATAAGAGACAAAACCACGTTTCACAGGAAAGTGAAGCAGCTCAGAAGCAGCAGCAGTTTTGTTGTTTCAGGAGAGAGAGTGTCCTTGTCGTTTATTAAGAATATCCATCTGCTGAAGACAGGTTAAAGCAGGCACGGGCAATCATTTTGGGTGGAGGGCCGCTTACTGAGTTTTGGCAAGCCATCAAGGGCTGCGTGACAGGCGGCCAGGGGCAGCTAAATATTCATTTTCTACATTTTTTAGGGGCCCCGCAGGCCGGACAGAATGGCCTGGCAGGCCGCATTCAGCCACCCTGGGGTTAAAGTGACAGATTGATCCTGCACCCCCTGCAAGAATATAACACTGCCCAGTAAAAGTCAAGAATATTCTTTTAACAATACCCCATATTAAACTTTCCAAAGGTCCAGGCTTTAAGCTTCCTTTTAGAGATCATTGTATTTAGAAGATAGACTATGACCCTGTCTAAACCCTACCTGCTACAGGAACAATCTACAGAATAGTTACGCAGTATTTCAGTGGTTTTGCTGTGGGGAGTGTTGATCATAGAGGCAGTAGAGATATGAAAACCATCCAAATCCATGGATCCAGCACATGAGCATCACATACAATATATGCAGGCAAGGTTCTTTGAGTAGATGTGATATCTTTTATTAGATGAACTGAGTAGGTGGAAAAAAGTTCTTGGCAAGCTTTGGGGTGCAGTCACTGTCCTTCAGGCATAGGGAGTGAACAGCAGAGATTCCCTGTGCCTGAAGAAGGGTGACTGCACCCAAAAGCCTGCTAAGAACTTTTTTCCAACTACTCAGTTGGTCTAATAAGACATCACATCTACTCAAAGAACCTTGCCTGCCTATGTTCTTAGACCAACATGGTTACAACCAAAAACCCCACATACAATACAGTATAACCTCATACATCCAGCATGCTTGGGCCCAAGCACTTGCTAGAAATGTGAAAATGCTGGATTTTTGAAACTGGCACAATGGCCAGTCATAGAGCAGGGGGAAGGGGGGCAGAAATAGCAGTGGCCAGTCCCAAAGCAGCAGCCGTATGCAGAGCGGTGGTACAGGGTGGTGAATGGTGGTAGCAGCCGCCGCATGCAAGCTTCCCCCTCCACTTCCAGGAGGGCAGGGGAGGGGGAGCAGCAGCTGGTCCTGAAGCAGCAGGAGGAGGTGCTGGATTTTTGGTATCCAGATTTACAAGGTTATACTGTATATGTCACCCACTGCAATTAACACCCTGAAAGTAACCAAACAACCACTATGATCCTGATGGATCATAAAAAGGGTGCCTATACGGAGGACTTTACTTTCTGGGCATGTCTACATATGTAAATAATGCAGCCGAATAAACTCCAAAGCAATTTGAGCTGAAGTAAACTACTCCCAGCCTCACCATCTACACATGTATTTAAGCACAGTAATTCACTCCACCATCGGATAGTACCTGTGTCTTATGTGACTATCCTATGCCGGAGTAAATTAATCTACTGAGACCTAATTGCAGCACATATCATAGTGCTTAGGATCGAAAGGGACATGAACAGATCATCAGGTCCGACCCTCTGCCCTCGGCAGGACTATATGTAGGCAGTGATGCCTTACTGCACAGTAAATAAATTTACTGTGCAGTAAGGAGCACGTGTAGACAAACCCAGTGTGGCCACTGGGGACTAGGTACAGATTGTTCAGTTAAGGACCAAGAACAATGGTCACAAATTGTAGCAGAGGATATTTATGCTGGGTATTAGGAAGAACTTTCTGACTATGAGGGTGGTTAAGCATTGTAACAGACTGCTTAGAGAGGTTGTGGAAAATTAATCCTCCAAAGTATTTAAAAACAGGTAAGACAAACACTTGACTAACACAGTTTAGTCAGAAACAATCATGCCTTGAGTACACAGCTGAACTACTATAAAACCTCCTGAGATCCTTTCAACCCTATTAATTCTATGATCCAGAATAAACTCCTATAGAAAAGTGATAAAAGACAGGAACATCCTATCACCAGCCGGAGAACACTTGTCACAAAACCCATCATGCCATCTCTTTTCAGAACCCTTATCTAAAATCCACAAAATACCTTCAGATGATTGGCCTAGAAACAGAAATTCATAGCCCTACCAAAAACTATGGACTCGAGAGATACTGGTTTTATGGTTTATTATATAATTTACTTTTCATTTCTGTTTCAGCTAACTCCTCTTTGCTCCACAAGTGATAACTGGCCACTTCACTTTTCAAATGATCAATTCATTAACTTAATTAGGTTAAATTAAAACAATTATTTTAACTTGTACTTAGGTTGGCCCATGATTTCTTCTTTCCCAGACCCAATAAAGGGCACTTAAAACCCAAAAGCTTGTTTCCTCTTGCTCTCTCAATTATACAGGTTGGTCCAATAAAAAAATATTACCTCACTTCA